GTGGCCTTGGCCAAAAGATCCATCCCAGGGACAAACACTCTGCAGCACCAATTAACTTCCTAAGCAGGGAGACACTTGATATAAAGAGGGACTAATTAAACCTATACAGATATGAATTACACTACCATGTCCAACCAAATCTTGTCTCAATAGAAAAGGTTTTAATGGACATATTGGGTGTAATTGTGTAATGATGTGATATAAAAATAGCCCCATTGTTTCTGCAGATGGTAGTGTGGCATAATGCACCCAGAACATTAATTACCAGTGTAATTATTGAAAGCATTTCACACAATAAGGATGTTGTCGCTGTCCAAGGTGCTGATCTGCCATTGTCATATCGTTGTACTTACACTGATTATTGTCAGGTACCAATCAACAAACATTAGCTGTGTACTAAATTAAAAAAAGACACTCGAAGAAGTTATAAACTCATTATATTTCTGTGTTGTACAGCAATGGTGCCTCCAGGAATGTGCTGGTAGAGGTAAAGCTGATGTCGATTTTCATCCCAACATTTTCTCCTGATTTGCAAAGGGATACTTTCTGCATCTCCTTATTTACACTGTCAGAAAGGTGGAGAAAGAGCCTGAAGATGTTATTAAGCTACAAGGGGAACTCATGCGCACATTGCTGTGGGCAAAGCTGGGCATCAATTCTACATGACTTTGATGTTCACCGAGTTTTGGAGTAAATTAGAGCAGTAAGGGGGGAGATGGAGACTAATGTCATTGACTTTCCAAAGCAACAATCCAACTGCTAACTGAACTAGTTGATCTGAAAGTTACTCTGAAAATCACTTGATCAAAAGGCATTGATGAAATCCGAAATCTTCCAGTGATTTTGGAGTAGATTGACAGTCTGCAGAATTAAGAACTGTATAAAGTTATTTGCCAAACTGAATAAAAAAGAAAAACAGAGACACTCTATAACATTAACCAAAACCGCACATAAGAAGAACATGAGGCTTATTGTGGTCTTATTGGGTGCTTAAAAAAATGAAGTAATTGGCTGAACAATCTGTCATCTCTGTCAAGTACAGATCAGCATGCACGTCCATGTTTCTTTTTAATAATTATGATCAGCTGATTGCTCATAACATCCCGACCCTCCCCTTTATATGCATCTTACTAGTAGCAAAATCCACAATGTGCTAAAAAGATCCAAATTTCATGGAATACGTTGTTAAGTCTTTTGTAGCAAATACAGCAACTTTTCCCGGGATAATGATGTGAACTAATGAAGATATTCACTGGTAAAATTACCACATGCTGGAGTTAGCTTATACGACCCTTTTCATCCTCTACGCTGACACAACTGTCTTCCTCAACTGCTTGACCTATTTCAGATAATCTAATTTAACTAAACATATCAGAGCTCAGGCCTAATTGCAACACAAATTACCATATTTTCTGCTGCAATATCTGCTAATTTGGACTGACATATGAACTACCTTGTAAAAATAAAAAAAAGTCTGGTAGAACAAGATTCTAATTGCTATTAGTGAAAAATACATGAATAATCCGCCCCACACAAATATGTTAAATAGCATATGCTGCGTCGCACAAATCCAAAATCCAATCAGCACTGCAGATGTATGTTTTTTGTTTGCAGACAATCTCAGAACAAATGGCGATTTATCTCAAACCTTCTTTGTCTCCAATTAAAATTTGCTTATACTTGTGCTGTTTCACATGTGCAAAAACTGCCCTGTATCCATAACTTATTAACTGATATTACAGTGTGATGACCAGTAAGAAACTCAGCCCTCCAACAAAGAAATTTAGAAGGACAGGAGAATGGATCTTTACTAAAGGCCCTGTTCACTCTCCTTTCTCTCTGTTAAGCATCTTCTCCAGACACATACAATGATAGGATCAGATAATGGTGTGGAGATTCTCATGCAGTAAATGATTAAATGCCATCACATAGTAAGTTGTTTCTCTAAACTTTCCCTAAGTCCAAGTAAGGGGCAAGGTTGTCACTGGACAAGAGGCAGGGTAGATATTTTATAGGTGGCCAGTCCATCACAGAGACAGGCAACAACACACTTACTCCTATGTAAACCTTCGAATAATCAATTAAAGCATGTTTTTGGAATGTGGGAGGAAGCAGGGGAACCAGAGAGGACCCACATTCATCGCGAGACCATGCAAACTCAACACAAAGAGGCCCTCAGTCCTCAGGGATTTGAACCAAGAACCCTCTTTCTGTGAGGGCAGTGCTAACCACGACACCACCGTGCAATCCTCACCAAATTCTATCCTAACACAAACAGTAAGAGAAGCAGACACACACGCATATTCAAACGCACACTCTTATTGATCAAAGTTGGAGACTCAGCCGCTATTTTCATTCATCCTGAGACTCTCCTGGCTCTTGCTATTGATTCTCTTTTACTCTGTGTTTAATTCTGAGCCAGACAAAGCCTGCGACTGCCTTCACATCCAACACGTCTCTCACTGTTTATCGACCACATAGTGGGGCTGCTTCTTGCCTCAGTGCTTGTGTTTTCTCTGTGGCTGTTTTACCACAGCAGACACAATATTGTATCATCTATACTCAGGGCATTACCATGGCAAAATGCTTATCGCTCAGGGGTATTATTTCATCTGACCAAAAGTTGATTAATTCATGGGGGTCTACAGGCATTTATTCAACCTCCAGAGGATTAACTCAGTTGTCTGACCTTCCAACCGTCAGTCGAAGGCCGTTCAACAAACATTACAACATCACAAGTGTGACAGCACTGACAGGTTAAGCTGTGTAAACGTTTAGTGCAGTTTGTGTGCAGCGTTTGTGGACGAGAAACGGTCATCCTGGAATCACATGCAGCTTATTTCCTCCTTATCCTCTTTTGCTGAGAAAACATGTGATTATAGTGCCCTGTTAAGGTTGCTCTATCACTGTTTCTCTTTATCCTTCCCTCCCTTAACCGTCTGAAGGGAAATCCAGGAGAACTACAAGGACAGGGCATGCAAGTAAAAAGAAACAAAGCTATCACTTTCCTCATTCAGTGTTGCCTTAGAGACCAGCACAGAGTGAGAGTTGAATCTGTAAAATCTTCTGATCATCTGTGTATATTTGTGTGGTTTCTGCGTGGGTTAGAAGGCAGAAGAGGAAAATCCTCACATAACCTGGGTTCCGTCAAACCTCCCCTTCCACTGCAGTTTCCCTGCGTTCTCTCTCAGAGCGTGTTACCTCACTGCTGAAAATCAGATCCAATTATTACAAATTATCGATGGACTCCGTCTTCCGATGGCAGGAAGTAAAGCCTGTGCAGTGTTCACCAATTTCTGAAAGGGAGTCTGCAGCACAGTTTATTTCCACTAATGCATGAGAATGGGGAGAAACCACAATGTTATATGAGGGAAGAAAGTTTTTAGTGATGGGAGACAATTAGACAGTGTTTGTTTGAAAGAGGATTATTATTGTTGAGAGTGACTGACAACACAGCTGCTGTGAAAAATCGTTGCCCGAATAAATAAGTTGATTATTCAAATAGTTAGTTATACTCTGACTAATTGTGTGAACTTAATCTAATTTCAACTACTATCTTTAAAAACAAAGATGGAAAGAATCACTGATAATGCCGTCTTTAGCCGAAGCCTTTTATATAAAGTGATTGGAGAGAGTGATGTGGAGAATGATGCATTAATTTACCACATCTTCAAAAGACATCTGAAGTGATTGATCATGAAGCTGCTGATTGTAAATCATTGCCTTTAATTTTAGGAAAATGTGGCTCATAATAAGACTAAAATGCCAGCCTCAGTCTGCTTGTGCTCTCCTCTTGATAATGCCAGGTATTCTGGATGATTAATGTCACCAAGAAATAATCAGGGGACTGTCAATCAGCTCTGGTCAGTGGACCAAGGACTGAAAGTGCATTCACCTCTTTGTAAAGTCATATTTTCTCTGACTTACCAATACTTGAATCTCTGTAGCTCGGCTGAAATAAATGTCGACACCAACATAGAATATTTATATATAGTTATAATATAACTTTTTGTTTAGGATTTTAAGTTAATCTAATACATGATGTATTGATCCAGTCATTTACAATAGTAATCCCTCTGGTACATTCAATGTGAAATATTATGAGTAGATTTAGTCCGACTGACCATTTTTTTCTGTTACGGATTTCTATTTTGACTTGAAAATTATTTCGCTGAAAAAATCACTGACAAAAATTGCATCTTAGTTTTAAATGCATTTTAATTGACAATTTATAAGTTTGAAATTCCTCACATAAACGCAAAACTGAATGAACTTGTAAGAAATTATAAACAGGTTTGTTGACAAAGACAAATCATGAGAATAGTACAACAGTACAGGTCTTGACCAGACAGACAGACAGACAGATAGACAGATAGACAGATAGATAGACAGATAGACAGATAGACAGATAGACAGATAGATAGATAGATAGATAGATAGATAGATAGATAGATAGATAGA